TTCCTGGTCAATATTATTTTATGGCTCTGATGGGGAAAATCTTCAATAATTTGCTTTCTTCCCACCTCCTTATAGTCTCCCCCCTCCCCCGGCCACCTTGACCCTAATTACCACATGGCCTAGAATCCCAAAGTATTAGACAGTGAAGGATCCTTTAAGACCAAACCCAGCAGCCTTTTGCTTTCTGCATGAAAGAACTGAGGCCACTATGTGCTCTCTGCCCCACTTAATTCTTCTGATAGCTGCTCATATTTTGCATCATTCACAAGCTCCTGGAAAATATGAGCCAGAAAAATATGCCCCACTGAAAATCTTGCTCTGCATAATTCCCAAACAAAACTAAGGAGCATGAGTAGAGAAAGAAAATGAAAGAACTACAATGGTTTGGGAAATTAAAACACTGTTGACATTCATTCTATTTTTTTTATGCCATACAAACCTTCTATTTCATTAGTTTAAAACTTCTTTGAGAGTAGGGGCTGTGTTTTTAAAATTATCTTTTAATATATATGTGAAATATAGCATCTAGTATCAGGAATGCCCAAGAGTTTAATAAATATTATTCGTGGATGATGAGCTGGTCTATCCCCCGGCCTACCAGCACAATCCCACATAATCATCCTAGACAGATGAGAATCCGTCCTGCTTTTAAAAACCTCTAGGGAATGAGAATCTAAACCTTCTTCCATAACTCATTTTAGTGTCTAATAAGCTTTAGTTGTCTGCTGGAAGATTCTTCCTAAGAAGGTAGCATTTAGAATAGTTGCATTATAAATGCTAGACTCCCTCTGAAGGCTCTGGAGCCAGTCACTTGAATTACTAGAAACTACCCTATGGCAAGGGATAAATGAGAGAGCTTGGGTGGGTACAGGTAGAGAAGGCAGTCATATCAGGAAGAAAAAAGGCAGAAATAGATCTCTTCTCTGCTCAGAGGAAACGAAGTAATACACACTTGCTAAGAAAACTGTCCACTGTTAATAAGACTTGATGGGTAGTAGCCATCAAGTTAGAGAATTGGGCAGACCTCTCTGATGGCAGAAAGCAAGTCTTTCATTGGTTACCCAGGTTTTTACACCCCCCCCAACAGTCTATGTCAATAAAATTGCTGTTACTGTTCTCTCAGTAGTATCCCCACAACATCAACAGTAGTTCTCTTCAATAGAAAAGGAAACTACATACATATCCTAGCCATGCAATGCTAATCTGAATATTTCCTTTGTAGCATGTGTGTGTGCATTCTTGAGTGTGTAGGTATGTGCGAAGATGCTTGCGGGCAGGGTGCAGGGGTAGAATGACAGGAGGTGAATGAAGGAAGGGGTAGTTCGGAAACTAGCAACCTTTCAGGTCAAAAGAGGCTCAGACATTGGGATATAGGTCAGGGCTTTCCATCGCCCTATATTCATGTTTTGGACTGCAGAAAGGGCAGTAGGAACACTGTGATCAGAGGACCTAAGCCAAAGGAAGACACATAAGGTGACCTGGATCCCTGGGGTGGGGGGATTTGGATGAAATGCAACTGGTTGGAATAACTACTACTGGACAGATTTGAGGAAGTATTCAGATAGGGAACAAACCAGACAAATTTTGAATTCTGATAAGTCCTTATTGTTTAAGGATAGAACATAGTCTGCATCTAGATGGAAGCATGATTTCAGGTAGCTGAGGGCAGGAGGGATGGGGCAAACAAGACCAGTAGAGGGGTTGGTACCTCAAAGGCAATCAAGAAATGAATCACTTAGGAGAATATAGGTCAGTTTGGGTGAAAAATGTCCTGGTCTACAATGCCTTAGTCCTTCTTTTACAAGGTCTTCACAAACAGAGAAGGCATTTGACTGGAGAACAGTGGGAAACTGTGCATTTAAAAACCTAGGATAACACAAGAAGCCCTGGTGAAATTAAGAGCCTGGAAAAGAGGAGTGGGTGGAAGCGTGTGAGTCATAAGTAGTGATTTGTGAGCATTCTAAAGAGTGTCAACCCCTGGGAATAGAACAAAGGCTCCATACACCAGTTCTAGCCCCTGTTTCCTATTAGCCCCCACAAGTCATTTTCTATAGCTTTGCAGGAATCTGGTGTTATTTTGCTCAAATTGTAAATGATTTATTTTATGAATGTTGAATCACAGGATTACTGTTGAAGAAAATAATCTCCACATAAAATAAATAAATCCCTAAACTCTGTTTTCCTCCCTCACCTGTGTGCACGGATGTGTTCATTGGGATGCCTATTCCAGT